TATACCGCATGGAAGAGCTTACCAGCTCACTACACAATACCCTGACAAATTCGGCAGGACCTGGTTCTACTGGACTGAGTTCCTCCACTCTCCAGCATATGAAACTGCTTTAGTGTCGTGACCCCGCCCCCATAGAAGAGCTCGGGTCCCACGTTCCTATACGGGTAACTACCTGGGACCCCTACCTACTACGGAGACCGACTGTAGTGATCTCGCATATCCACCCCCCACGACAATATCTGGGTTAGGTTCTCGACACATGCTTTACCCTATGCAGCATAGTTGTTTCTGCCGTTATCTCCCCCATCTGTCCATACCTGATGTATAGATTGACTTATTGTCAGCATGCATGTACTGCATATTTGGACATCCCTGTTTTGTAAACGAAAAATACCTCTTTAAATAAAGAATTTATAAAAAATCACTGATAGCGCTAAACTGATGAGCCATAAAAGCATTTAAAGCGTTGCCTATGGGAAATTTTGGTTATTGTAGTTCTTTGCGGTTTCACAGATTCAGCAAATTTTAAGACTTGACATGTTTGGTATCTATTTGCCCGGCGTGACCCCGTCTTTTATATTTTACCAAAGAATTTGCCATTATATTCTGTTTCTGTGCACTAAATTTCATTTCAGTGTATTTTATCCTAAAAATACTTGTTTGATAAACATTTGCGCAAATACTGTGGGACATAAAAAATTCCAACTAGTATCTTTTTATTCTATTCTATTCCCTATGTTTCCTGAGGCAGTGATGCTGAACATTTTTTAAACCCGAGCGTCCAAACTGCAACACTAAAGTTATTTTCAGTGTTGGCACTTTGAAATAAATAAATTTTGCATCGCAGTTTGGGTACTCGGGTTCAAAAACATTCGCCATCCCTATCCTAGTCTGACAGCGGCGCAGGCGAGTGCCCAGAGGTAGCGGGGAGAGGCCGTAGATACAGGGAATGCAGACCTACCGCCCCTGTGGCTGCACAAGGGCTCGAGGCTGGAGGGACCCAATGAGATCTGGTCCAGGGCCCCCACTGAAAAAATGGTGCCCGCATCTTCAGACGAAACAAATGAAAATTAGAATTTGTTTTCGGGAGCTTCTCCTCTTCGCCATCTTGGATGAGGGCTTCCTTGCCTTTCTGGGACGTCCCTTCCGGTTTACACAGCGGCGGCCGGCGATCCTTTTTGTCGGCGGATTGCTGGGAGACGTGCTGCTGCCTTTTCACAGGGGACAGATCTGGAGTCCGGGAGTTGGACTGCTGTGGCTTTCCACTACCCATGGGGGTGTGGACTGCTGTGGCTTTCCACTACTCTGGGGTCCCCCTCCGCCTGCTGCCTGGGGCGGTTGGTGTGTGCACTAGTGGTGGGCACCATGGACCGCGGTGCAGTCGTCCACAGGGCTATGTGAGGGGTGTGGCCAACCCTTGGAAAATATTTCACATTCCCCTCTCTGTCCAACCTGTACGCCAGCGTCGCTTTCCCAATCTCCTTTGCCCTCCTAGGGGGCTACGGCGGGGGTGGTCAGTGCCGCCGGCACTGCCTTGTCCTTAGAGGTGTTTTCCACTACCATGGACAGTTTTGTGACGCACATTGAACGCACCTTGATGCAGAGGTCCCTTAAGAAGCGCGCTCTGCCGTTGCCTTCCCCTATTCTTTCGGGGAATTGGAGGAGGGTGAGATACCTGCGGCCTCATCCCGCCCTGACCAGGGGGATTCTTCACCGCCAGCTTTGGGTAGTTAGGATGAGTCAAGCGCTTCCCTTATGGTTCAGGAGCGCGAATTGGTCTCTACCCTGATTCGTGCTGTCAGGGAGATGCTCAAGATTGAGGAGGCCCCGAGTTCTTCTGCGCTTCCTCCAGTTCAGTTTGGGACGCATAAGAGCAAACGTTCCACCAGGGCCTTCCCTGGTGGAACGTTTGTATTCCTTTCTTTGATGATTTGATCTACAAGGAGTGGAAGCCACCAACAAAGTCCTTTTCGGTTCCTAAACGCTTCTCGGTCCGTTATCCTTTTGAGGAGTCGTTCTTGACTAAGTGGGCGACTCATCCCGCGGTGGATCCCCCGGTTTCGCATCTAAACAAAGCAACTGTTATTCCAGTGGAGGATTCACCTTCCTTTCGGGATCCTACTGACAGGAAGGCGGAGGCCGTGTCCAGGACCATGTACTCGTTTCGGGTGCTCTTATGCATCCGGTTTTGGCCTCTGCTTTAGTCTCTCAGGACTCTGACGGAGTGGGCTAAGATGCTGCACCAGGGTCTCGCTGAGGAGAACGTCTCTCCTGCTTATATTGAGTTAGCTGACCAGTTGGTGCAGGGCCGGAAGTATGTTTGTAACTTGGCCCTGGATGCTTCTCCACTGGTGTCAAAACTGTCAGCGGCTACGCTCCACCGACTTCTTTGGCTTAAGTGCTGGTCTGCTGATCAGGCTTCCAAGAAGGCTCTGACGGAGCTTTCCGTTACTGGGGATCGTTTGTTTGGAGCTACACTGGATGAGATCATTAAAGATCTCTCAGGCGGGAAAAGTACTTTTCTGCCTTAGGCTAAGAAGCAGAGGGATCAGCGACGCAAGCCGGGTCCTTACTTTTCCGCTCACAAGCGGCTTTTTCGGCCGCCTCCATCCTCAGAGAAGGGCGGTAAGTTTAACAAGCCTCCCCCTAGCCAGGGCGCCAAGCGTCCGTGGAAGCCGAAAGCTGCCAAGCCCCCAGGTAAGCCGCCTTCCGCATGAAGGTCTTCCCCCTTCTCTGGTTTCCAGGGTGGGGGGGGGCCTTCGACTCTTTGCGGATCTCTGGTTGTCCCGCGTCTCTGATTCCTGCGTGCGGGAACTGGTGTCCTCGGGCTACAAGATAGAATCTCTGTTGCGTCCCGCGGACAGGTTCTTTCCTTCCGGATACAGTCCATGAAACCATCGCACTCAAAACCGATGTTCCTTATAAAAGACGGGTGCTGCGGCAGTCGATGGATGGCAACCGTCTATAATCACAGGATAACATATACACACCGGCACTCCAAGTAATGAATCAATGGCGTCTGTTTATTGACGCATGAAACATAGCATAATGCATCAAAAAGCAATGTTTTGGGGTCTCACAGGATCCCTTTCATCAGGCAAAATGAGTGATACAAACACAAGTGAAACCATATACATATATACACACCATACTGTCAAAATTAGCCAATCCCCTAGTCTGCCGTGATCATGTGATGTACTAATTACATCACAATCCCACCACAGTAAAACAATTGCAGGTGTGGTAATCAGGTGATGAATGCATAGTCTATAACAAGCACTGCCTAGACAGATATATGCATGTACAGAGAAATTGAACAGATATAAATACACATAGGCCAGGTGCCAACCGAGCACACATACAGGCAGAGAAGCCATTTCGAGCAGTGGGGGAGTGGCCTATCGCTATATATATGTATATATATAGTAATAATGCTAATCTGCAGCTTTTAACAAAATATTACCTGGTGATCCTGCCATGAAGCTTCTTATTCGGGCAGCTCTTCTTAGGGCAGTGGCGGCGAACCTAGGGCACGCGGGGTCCTCGCGGCTGGCATGCGAGCCCAGGTTCGGGCCACCTCTAAAAAAAAAAAAAAGTCAGACCGTCCCGGATCGCTGCCTCGGTATGCGATCAGGGCCGGTCAAATCCAGGCAGCGGCAGCCTCCTTTGGATTGATGTGATCCAAAATAAACGTGCTGAAATCCTTGTGTTCACTTTCTTTATATTACATCAGTGAGTGAAATAATCATTGCATATAAAGTTCCACAATCTCTTGTGACTTCTGTGCTTCAATTCACTATTAAATCACCAGTGATCCACCTCCAGGTGAGCAAGCACTAGCACACTTGCCAGATAATTCCGACCACCCAGTGGTCTATACTCGCTCTGCACACCTCCCTGGTGTCCAATGTCTCCACTGAATCACCTCTCCAATGAATCACCAACAGCTCAAAATGATGAGTCTGGCTTGGCGTCTCTCCCAAATTTCTCTTTTCCGCTCAAAATAGAAAACCAAGATCGCACACAGTGTAAAACTGCTAGAGAGGCTTTCGGGTGAAGAGATGGAGCTGAGCTCATACAAGCCGTTTTTACAGTGCTGAATAACCCTTTTAAATGCAAGTGTTCTGATTTTTATGAATAAACTATCATCTAGCAGATTATATACCACTGGGTGGTCGAAATTATTTGGCGAGTGTGTTAGTGCACCTGGATGTGACATAGGGACCTTAGATTGAGGGCAACGATAGATGTGAATGTACACTATGTAAAGCGCTACGTAAATTGTCAGCAATATATAAATACCTGTAATAATAAAAAAAGGCTATGCTGAGCAACACAAAAAAAACTAAAAAAATATTTCTTCTAATATTTGAATTAGTGGAGCAGTTTTTAACATTAGTCACAACACAGAGGGAAAGCTATACACATCCAATCCTCCAAGTCAGCTTGCTCTTAGACTGGCCCTGGAGCCTCACTCCCCTTCCTCTGCAGCAGTCTAGGAATCCTCAAGTCATCATGTCCAATACAGTGTATAGGACGTGAGGAAGCTGAGGGAGATACCATCACTGCAGTGGAGGAGACAGGCTGGAGGGAGTGCTGCTGGCTCTGAGGATCAGGTATAACTTTTTTTTTTTTTACCTTAGCAAAAAGAGCAGTTAACCCTTGCAGTGCAGGGATAACCCCACTGCAAGGGTTAATAAAAATTCTGTACTGCATTCTACTTCAAGGTGTGAATAACAAATGCTTTCACACATGGGGCTATCACATCTGTGAAAAGGAAGAGAAATTCTACACTCCCATTTGTCAACGTTAACGTGAGAGTGTAACTCGTATGTACATTTTTGTCTTTAGTGGCTCTGAAAAAGATAAGAAAATTGGTACGGCACAGAACTTTATTAGGAAAAAAGTAGTGCAAAAATAACTTATTGAAAAATTATACGATTCCGCACATTTCCTTTGAGCTACTGCAGAAAATTAATAAATAAATCCCAAATACTCACTCTTGAATAACTGCTGAGGTCTCAGCCCAGGATTTTAATGCTTCTCTTACATCCTTGTTCCGGCAGTGATAAGCAGCCAAATAAATGTGTGGATACAAGTGCTGATTCTCATAGTGTACTTTGGAGGACTGTATAGCCTTTAAAGAAAAAAAAATAATGAAAAAACACGAGTTAGTTACCTGGTAACTCTGTTTCCAGGAATCTTCTAGGACAGCCAAGGAAAGAAGGCTGCATCTGGCTACAACAGAAAACACATCATCCACATTAGATTAAAAAAAAGCACTTCCTATGACACCAACTAAGTAACCTCTTGGACCGAAGGCAAACGAATGTGTAACCTTCAAGTATGGTAACTTCTCCCTTTACCACCCTACATAGGATGCTAAAAATTGATTTCTCTGGGAGGGAACCTGATGTTCTGGAGGATTCCTGGAAACAGAGCTACCAAGTAACTAACTCATCTTCCAGGACAGCCAATGGGAGAATTAGTGAGGACTAAGTTCACCTACTTAGGGTGGTACTACAGCTTGCAGGACCTTCCTGCCAAACGCTTTATCCTGCTCTGTAAGCATATCGATCCTGAAATGCCTGACGAAGGTCTGAAAGTTGGACCAAGTGGCTGCCCTGCAGATCTGGCCTGGAGTAGCCCCTGCTCTTTCTGCCAAGAAGTCGCCCAGGCTCTCGTTGAGTGTGCTGTGGAATCACCTGGTAAGGTTTTGCCCTGCGCTTTGTATGTTTCTACTATGGCGGTCTTGATCCATCTAGCTATGGTGCTTTTTGTGGCTCTGTTACCTTTCCTAGGACCACCAAATAGGACAAAAAGGTTACTAGATGGTCTCCAAGGTTCCGTGACTGTTAAATATTCCAGAACGCACTGTCTCACGTCGATGCCCTTCCATTTACGTACTCTGTCATTAGTCGGGTTAGTGGCAAAAGAGGGGATGACTAACTCCCAAGTCTTATGCTAGGCGCCACTTTTGGCAGAAAAGCTAGGTCAGGTCTTAACACAATTTTATCCGTCAGAATGGTGCAGTATGGATCCAAGATGGAAAATGCCTATATCGCACCAACTCTCCCGGCAGAAACCAAGGCCACCAGAAGGGTAGTTATTAGAGTAAATTCTCTGAGAGCGCATTCCTGCAGCAGCTCAAAAGGTGGTTTGAGGAACCCCTGAAGCACAACAGATAAGTCCCAAATTGGAACGTTTTCCCCCCGTAGGGATTCCCGGAGTGGAAGAACAGGTCATTGTGATTTTGAGGCTTGCTGAGGAGGGTTAAAGAGAAAATTGCCCTTGCGTTTTCACTTCTTAACCCCTTCATGACCAGTGATGTACAGTGTACGTTACTGACATCGGGCCCGTTTAAACAGACTCTCGCCGTGACCCGGTTTACTTTCGTAAAGCCAACGGCCGGCTTTACAATAGAAGCGATTCTGGTGACTCAGCTGTCGCCAGATCGCTTCTACGAGCCAGTAAACGGGAACTAGGAAAATGCTTTTCCTCTTTGATACCCAAGGTATTCCAAATAGCCTTTAACAATTCACCCGTCACTAAGGAAGGAAACAGATACGTAGCGGACTTAACTTGCTGTTCCTCCTACTCTGATCTATCTGCTGCCTGGTCCCCTGAATCTATCTGGGAATCTGAAGACTCATTGGGTACGTTCTTGCACACATAGCTCTCAGCATAATCGAGCTACCTTCCCCAGATGGCACCCGGATGTTTGGGAGCCCTGAAATCAGTCCTACAGAATTTTGAATGATGGATCTGAATGATTGGAACGTAGAAACCATTTCTTCCCTCATAGAGTCTAAAAGACCCTTAAACATTCCTGCAGATTCTTTGGCGACCAGTTTCTCTATACACTGTGTGCACAATAATTAGGCAAGTTCTATTTTTGAGGATTAATTTAGTTTGAACGACTACAGTGCGGTGTCAATCCAAAATGTTAATAGACCTCAAACCTGAATATTTAAGAAGGTAAAAGTGAGGTTTTGGCTTTCTTAGGAGAATGTCTATGTGTGCACAATTATTGGGCAACTATTAGTGTGCAGGATTATTATGCAACTAAATGGAAAACAAAGATTTTCCCATCTCACTTTTTTTTCCCCATCTGTTAAAGTGAGAATAATAAACAAACTCAAAATTTACAAATAAACATTTCTGACATTTTCAAAAACAAAATAAGTGACCAATATAGCCCACCTAACAGTCATAAGCCATCCGTGGAGTCTGTCAGTTCCTTCATCTATTGACTATCAACTTTTTGTGCAGCAGCAACCACAGCCTCCCAGACACTGTTCAGAGAGGTGTACTGTTTACCTTCACTGTATATCTCTCATTTAAGAAGGGCCCTCAAATTCTCCATAGGGTTTGGGTCAGGTGAGGAAGGGGCCATGTCATTTTTCTTTCATCTTTCAGGGCCCTGTCACACCATGTCCAGACCAGATCTGCATACGTTTCTTCAAACGCGGTGTGGTGCGTTTGTGACGCGTTCCAGTGCGTTTTTTGGGAGGTAACGTCATTATGCAAATTAATCTCTTCCTGCTCGATGTCATAACTTCTCTTGCGTTCCAGTGCATTTGTGACGCGTTGAGATGCGTTCCAGTGCAGGAAAAATGTGACATGCAACATTTTTTTTTCTTGCACTGGAACAGACTGGCCTGGTGTGAACAGAACCCAAAAATCACATAGAAATGCATTGGGATGCATTTTTGGTGCTGAAGAAAAATGCAATGTACAGCATCTGATCCGGACATGGTGTGAATGGGCTCTAAGGCCTTGAAAGATGCAGACTTTTTCCTGTACCACTGCTTGAAGAAAGTGTCTTCTAAAACCTGGCAGTAGGGCTGCAACAACTAATCGACATAATCGATTATTGAAAAAGTTGTCAACTTTTGCAATCATCGATTAATCGGCTTCTGGTTAGTTGGCCCTGTTCACTGCTCCACACAAGCTGCGCGCCGCACCTCCTCACCCCCTCACGCTCGCCGCTGCCAGACCCGCCCGCACCTCCTCCCCGCCTCACGCTCACCGGCCTCCCACATCCACGATCGGCACAGGGACGCGGGGAGAAGAAGTAAGGAGGAGCAGGTGTGGGGGTATGACAATTGCCGATAGACAGGCCCGATCTCAGAAGCAAGTTGCTGGAAGACTGCTCAGGTAAGCCTGCACTTTCCCACACATGGTGCTCTATAATGTATTGATGGTATTTGTATTCCTCTATAGCTGATGGTACATTGTGCTATATGTTATACAGAGGACTACAAATCCCAGCAATAATACATCATACAGCGCAATGCGGTATACCACCAGCTATAGAGGACTACAAAACCCAGCAATAATACATTATACAGTGGTGCAATGGCGAATACCACTAGCTATAGAGGACTACAAAACCCAGCAATAGTACATTATACAGCGCAATGCATAATACCGCCAGCTGTAATGTTTTGCTGGCATTTGTTGTATGCCTCTATAGCTGGTGGTATTCTGTATTGTGCTGTATAATGTACTATTGCTGGGATTTGTAGTCCTCTATAGCCGTTGCCATTCTGCATTCATTGCTATATAGTTTTACACTTTTCATTTCACTATATTGCGCACCACACTTTTTTTTCTTTTCTTATTTACTATCACCACTCCAAGTTTGCTCCCGTGGTGGACTACAATCTCAATACAAACTAGTAGCTCATCACTGGAGCCATTTTTTAAAATGTATTTTATTTTTTATCCGATTAACCGATTAATCGAACTCAATAATCGGCTAACTAATCGATTTTGAAAATAATCGTTAGCTGCAGCTCTACTTGGCAGTAGGTTTGAGAGTTGATTTTGAGTCCATCTTCAACCCGAAAAGGTCCAACTAGCTCATCCTTAATACCAGCCCATACCAGTACCCCACCTCCACCTTGCTGGCGTCTGAGTCGAAGTGGAGCTCTGTGCCCGTTACTGATACAGCTACGGGCCCATCCATCTGGTCCGTCAAGAGTCACTCATCTCATCAGTCTATAAAACCTTTGAAAAATCTGTCTTCAGATATTTCTTGGCCCAGTCTTGACGTTTCAACTTATGCGTCTTGGTTCAGTGGTGGTTGGGTTTCGTCCTTCCTTACCTTGGCCATGTCTCTGAGCACTGAAACCCTTGTACTTCTGGAATATGACAGTACTGGAGGATAATGGGTTCCTGGTAGCTTCACGTTTGATTCTTCTCAAATTTTTGACCGTTAACTTGTGTCTTTCTTTCTCAACACGTTCTTAGTGACCATATTGACTATTTGCAACAAATCGTTTCATGGTTCTGTGATCACGCCCCAATATCCTAGCAATTTCAAGAGTGCTGCATCCCTCTGAAAGACTTTTTACAATTTTTAAATCTAATCTCTTTTTAACCTCTTGCCGTCCGCCCGTAGTAAAAAAACGGACGGACGGCACTGCAGCATCTGCGGGTTGCCGTCTCCAGACGGCAATTTTTTTCTGCTCGCGCGCGCCCCCTAGCGGGCACGCACGGGCAGAAAAGACAACAATTTACATCTCCTTTTTGGCCCATTTTGCCTGAGGAAACAAAGCTGCCTAATTATTATGCACACCTTGATATAGGGGTTTGATCTCCTAAGGCCACACCCTCCCTCATTACACACATACACATCACCTGATATGACATTAAACCCTCAGATTTTTTAACATAAAACAATACTGTAATGTGTACCTTACTGTAATCCATCGTTGTTTCCCTTCTCTTTGCTGCTCTTCCCTTTAAATCCTCATGTCTTCTCATGCTTGGGGAGAACTTCCCTTTGCAGCTGACTGCCTCTTCCTGTAGTGCTGGCTCAGGTTGCAAGCCTATACACAGACACCATGTAGCCATTCCAGAGACAAGGCAGTCTGCTGCAAAACAGAAGTTCTGCCCAGCATGAGAACAGATACAGATTTAAAATGAAGAGCAGCAAAGAGAAGGGAAACAACCATGGATTACAGTAAGGCACACATTACAGTATTGTTTTATGTTAAAAAATCTGAGGGTTTAATGTCACTTTAAATGCAATAAGCCTTCAAGCTTAAACAGCTTGGAGTTGGACAATATGCATAAAAATTGTGATTTGGTCAAAATACTCACTTGCCTAATAATTGTGCAGTGCACATGCTTTGCATAAGGGTTTGGACCAAGAAGACGACATCTTGGCATTGCAAGAGGCGCATTTTATACCCTTTGGACAGGAGCAACCGGCTTCAGCAAGGGGCTTCTCCTCCGAGGCCTTGACCTATGCAAGACACGAAGGATGGAATCAGCCAGTGCCCCTCCCATCTAGCAACAGGACCAAATGTAGAGTACCAACCCTCTTGTCCTGTCTACACAGGCCCCCAATACAAGCAGGGTTAAAAAGGGTAGTTTCCCAAATAAAGACTCGCCTACCTTAGGGCCAGTGCAGTGTTCTCCCAGATCTGGAGAGGCATGTCGTGGTCCAGCATCTTGACTTTGTCTGCCTACCGTGCTTCTGGTCCACTCCCGGCATCCCAGCTGGCTGTATGTGGACCCAGTCAGCCTTAGGTGTGCAATGGTAGCTTGCTGAAGTCGTGGCAGAGCGGTTAGCTGCAGTTCTCTGAGCAAGCGGCCCGGCCCCTTCCCCACTGCCTTGAAGTAGTGTGGCCCGAGCGGTGGGCGTGTCACGCGTTCCGGCACTGACATCACTTCCTCCTTGTGGCTCACCAGACCTTCCCCCTCTGAGAGCGTACACCAACGTAGCTGGCGCCCGTCATGTCAGGAGGCCTCATCCAGCCGGTAAGCAAGCAAATGCACCTCCACCCCCGGCAACGCAAGGGGAGAGCGAGAGACAGACTGCCTGGGTTTCCAACCGTGGGGGGGGGATGGAGACCCTGGCACCAGATCAGCCCTGGTCTTCTTCACCCAATTCCGGCCATGCGGCTCCCTGCCCCCGGGGTGAGCACCATGTCCCGCAGGCCCCAACAGAGCAGTTGCGTCACATTAGGGGCCCACCCCTTCTGGCCAGTAACCATACTAAAATGACTGCTGGCTCAAGGACAGCCGAATGGACCATGAGGTAAACAATAGGCCAGCCACTGCTGCACCCTGGGGGGCTTCCATCTGGAGCCTCACATGCCGTGGAGGATGGTTTCCACTCCGTCAGTTACGGAGGGAGACCTTGGCTTGAGCAATCGGGACAGGGGTCCGATGGGAACCCCTGCATGCGCTGTAGCAGGTCATGCTGCCCCTTGGATAGGTCCCGGAGCATATCAGGGGGAGGCCCCAATTCTAAAACAGGGCCCATGAACATAATAAACATTACGATGTTCCTGTGTAGCCGGAGGAAGCACAAAAAATACTGAGTTGGGGTAGTAGGAAGTGCTTTTTTATCTAATGTGGATCATGTGTTTGCAGTTGCAGGCAGGCCGAGCCTTCTCTCATTGGCTGTCCTGGAAGATGACTGGGGAAAATATTTCAGTTAGCTCTGCAGAGAGGTGTATTAACACCGAATACCCTTAATAAATGTACAAATTCTACACTCACTTTGTCATGTGTAACTAGGGAAGTCTGCCTCTAGTTAATTAATTTAGCTAACACACAGGACTAATCTTTCTCCAGTGAAATCCCAACCCTAGCACACAAAATGGTCTTGCCCCAATACAATTTCACCCCAAGCACACAGATTGGCGTTTCCCTGGTGAAATTCTGCACCCCCGACCCCAAGCACACAGACTGGCCTTTCCCCTGTAAGATCCCACCTCCATACAGTCGTCATTTCTCTGTATCCTTTTCCCAGCACTCACAATCTCCAGTATGTCCTCCAGGGACTCCTCACTGTGCAGTACCATGATATCACCACACACATTGCATACTGAACAGTGTCATGTCCTCCCCATAGGTATTTCCTCACTGAGCCCTGACACCCAGTCAACAGGTTCAGCACTCAAGAGAAGTTTAGTTCAGTATCAGTCTCTGTTCCCTTCCCCCTCTGCATAACCCCTCAGAGACCTATTTGCAGTGAATGTGCACTTCCCCTCAGTAATCAGCTTCAACAGCACATGCATGAAAATGAATATGACAAGTCTGCAATGTACTTTATGTCTGGCAATATTAGCATTAACCCCTGAGCAACCATTTCCCAGTTCATGTGCGTTAACCCCACATTCCTATTCTTTGGTACATGTGACAGCCCCTCAGCACCCAGTCTTCCCCAATATGTGTAAACCCCTCAGGACCCTGTCCCCAGCAACTGTGTGTCAAACTCTAAACCCTCAGTCATCAGTGTATGTGTTGACCCCTCAGTGCCCAGTACCCAGCTCACGTGGCCTAACCCCTCACCACCCAATGCCAAACATGTGATCTGATCACCTCGCTATCATGTTATGGGCATTATTCTCCCACCCATCACTACCCAGCACATGAGCGTTAACCCCTTTGTGGCCAACACGTGTGTCAGCCCCTCAGTACCCAGGGTATGTACGTTATACGCTCAGTGCCCAGTTCTCAGCACATGTGTGTTAACCCCTCAGAACACAGTTTCACAGTCTGTGCACACATCTTCAGATAATCTCAAGTATTTTTTTTAATTCACCATGCCAAATAGTCTAATCTCCACTACTACTGGTCCAATAGTGATCTCGGCTCCACTGGCCCATTTCTGTGTTTACATATTACCCGTTAACAATGCCCTTTCCTATTTTTATACGTCCCCAGTGCCATTTCCACTGTTCTAGACACCCAAACACTGTGCCTACTAATAACCTGCTTCAGTTTTGGTGTCCCCTTTTCAACCACCATTGTCCCCAATTCCACTGACACACTCCCTACCATCTCCACTGTCTCAGTGCCCATTTCCTGGACATTGATTTTGACCTCTATTCTTCATCTCCCATGCTGCTGCTTTATAATCAGTAAGTTTTGTGAATTGGTGCCAAGTGAATTACAGGAGACTTATGCCTGTCCTGAAACCTACTGTAAAACATAGTGGACATGGAGTTAATTCCATCCTTCGTAATCCTCCATAGAAAAAAGTTAGAGCTGTAACACCCTAAAAGAGATATTCAACAAAGTTGGAAATATCCATCTGTGATAGATGCTTTGGCTGCTGGAAGGCCTCATTATCATTCCATAGAGAAGATCTAAACAGCTTGATTACGGACTCTGACAGGGTGATTCTGATATTAAGCAGAGATTGGGAAATATATAGCTGCTATTAATGTCAAAAGAAACACTGCATGTCAGGTTTATGAAAGATGCATTGTAAGTATAACTAAAACCTTTTGGGGTTTTACTTTAAATTCAATCAAATTGATGCAAGCAAATGTTCTAGTACATAAACATACCAAGTTAAATTACAAGAATAGGAGTTAAGACTCCTACCTTATGATAGAGTTCAAGGGGCTTTGGACGCCCAGGTGTTGGAGCAAGGTCTTCAAGGTCTGCTAAATTACCCAAAGCCATTGGATACCTAAGTACGTGGCGATTGAGAAAAAACAATTGTGATTGTGAAGGAGGAATGGTAAATCTTGATTTAATCCTTATTATTAAGCATGTGTGAAATAGTCCACAAAAATCATGTTTGAAGCTTAACAAGCTTTTAAAAATAATTTTGCTATTATCGGTCTAGACATTCAAAATATATCAATTATAGATCAGGGTGAAATATTGTCTTTTGTAGGTTAGGTAATGAAAAACACTACTGCAGTCCTACTTGATTATTTTTTCTTGCACATTTGTAGTAAAACTTTCGCTTCACATTTATTCATGAACATTAGTGACAAGAATGATTCATGGTATAATAATATTCCGTGCTCAGGACTCCTACAATTGGTCAAAATTAGGGAAGTCCCGATGCCACTTTTTCAGGCCCAAGTACAAGTACTTCCCCTCATGTACTTGCCGATACCAATTACCGATACTTTTTTTTTCCTTTTTAAAAGGGACAGGTGACTTTAAATGATCCATATTACAACTACATGTTAAGGGGAGTGGATCATGATTTAACCTATTCATGTTAGCAGGGGAGAATTGTAACTCTATTGCTGGAATGTAGTGGAGGTGTGTGCTGTATATATGTACTACATATACATTACACACGTCCAGTACACTATAGCAATAGATTTACAGCCAGCCCCGTCCCAGCTTCCCTCACTAACAGTTTCACTCTGATTCCTGTTGCCTCACGAGGTGCCTCTTGTAGTCGGCGCCGGGCAGGATCGCTGCATCGCGTCTCGGTGCTCAGCTAGTGGAAGGCGCTCACAATTTTGCCCTGCTAACATGAATGGGTTAAAGGAGAACTATGAGATAAGTGATTTCCACTCACCTCATAGTTATAGCTGACCTGTGACAATGAGACTGTCACAGGTTGGCTCAGTAGATCGGGAAGTCAGCGAACACATACCGCTGTTCGCTGACTTCTCGATCCCGTCACGGCTCTCTGCCGTGACAGTGGAGGGGCTGGATTCCCCCGTCCCCGCTCCGCCAGTGCTGACTGGCGGAACGAACGGGGGAGGGGGCGGGTACAGCTGGCTCTGCCTCTAGATAGGCAGAGCCAACTGTCACGCAGCTGGGCGGATCTCGACATCGATCGCTGTAGCTCGCGGTATACTGAGCTTAGGGTGACGGGAGGACGCTAGTTTGTGTCCTCCCATTACCCTAAGGAGAACTATGGGGAAAAACACTGACCCCATAGTTCTCCTTTAAATCATGATCCATAGTACATATACAGTACACAAGTCCAGTAAACTGCAGTATTAGAGTTACAATTATCCCCTGCTAACATGAATAGGTTAAATCATGATCCATAGTACATAATAGTACATAACAAGTAATTGTACTATGGATCATTTAACCCAATTTATGTTAGCAGGGGATCATTGTAAATCTATTTACTTTTGTACTGTATATGTACAGTACATAAAGAGTGCCTGCAACAATACATTTACAATTATACTCTGCTAACATGAATGGGTTAAATGATCCATAGTACAGGGCTACATACAGACCATTTAATCCATTCATGTTAGCAGAGTATAATTGTAAATGTATTGTCTGCACTGTATTAGCAGTGTGTACTCTATATGTAGTACATATAGAGTATATACTGCTAATACAGTGCAGACAATACATTTACAATTATACTTTGCTTAATAGTGCCCCCCTTCCCCATCTGCCCTCACTCACTGTGTTGGAACACCGGAGAGAGCAGTGACGAGTCATCGCTGGTCCGGTGGGAGGAGCTCCAGGTGGGGTTCTAATTACAAACAAACATGGCGCTATGTATTGGGGCATTTTGACAAGTACAAGTACTTGTCAAAATGCCCTGTATCGGGCCCGATTTTGATGCTAGCATCGGTATCGGGACAACCCTAGTTAAATATAATGCTGCTATGCTCAGAGCGTGCTTGCTCTTCAATAATAAGAGTATTCTGCACAGCGCTAAATATATAAGCTCCTAGCAATGTGTAAATTACAAAAATGTGCCAAACAAAATCTTAAATTAATATTATATAAAAAGTATAAAACCAAGCACCTAGGCATGCAGACTGCTTCTACAAACATTTGTGAAAGAATGGGTCGCTCTCAGGAGCTCACTGAATTCAAGCGTGGTACCGTGATAGGTTGCCACATGTGCAATAAGTCCATCCGTGAAATTTCCTTGCTACTAAATATTCTGCAGTCAACTGTTAGTGGTATTATAAGAAAGTGGAAGCAACTGGGAACAACAGCAACTCAGTCACGAAGTGGTAGGCCACGTAAAATGACAGAGCGAAGTCAGCGCATGCTGAAGCACACAGTTGGCAGATGTTGCCAACTGTCTGCAGAGTCAATAGCTACAGACCTCCAAACTTCGTGTGGCCTTCAGATAGGCACAAGAGTGAGTAGATAGCTTCATGGAATGGGTTTCCATGGCCGAGCAGTTGCATCCAAGCTTTACATAACCAAGTGCAATGTAAAGCGTCGGATGCAGTGGTGTAACTCGAGAAGTGGAGATGTGTTCTCTGGAGTGACGAATCACGCTTCTCTGTCTGCCAATCTAATGGACGTGTCTGGGTTTAACGGTTGCCAGGAAACGGTACTTGGCTGGCTCCACTGTGCCAAGTGTAAAGTTTGGTGGAGGGGGGATTATGGTGTGGGGTTGTTTTACAGGGGTTGGGCTTGGCCCCTTAGTTCCTGTGAAGGGAACTCTTAAGGCAACAGCATACTAAGACATTTTGGACAATTTCATGGTCCGAACTTTGTGGGAACAGTTTGGGGATGGCCCCTACCTGTTCCAACATGACTGAGTACCAGTGCACAAAGCAAGGTCCAGAAAGACATGGATGAGCGAGTTTGGGGTAAAGGAACTTGAATGGCCAGCACAGAGTCCTGATCTCAACCCGATAGAACACCTTTGGGATGAATTAGAGCTGAGACTGCGAGCCAGGCCTTCTCGTCCAACATCAGTACCTGACTCCACAAATGCGCGTCTGGAAGAATGGTCAATCATTCCCATAGATACACTCGTAAACCTTGTGGACAGCCTTCCCAAAAGAGTAGAAGCTGTTATAGCTGCAAAGGGTGGGCCAACTCCAACTAGTGACAGTGCATAAAGTGCATCAATGTGCTAGATAAAGTGCTACATTCAATTCTGAAAACTGATAGTTCCTCGGTGTATCAGTCCAATTAGTACATACATTACATAAAATACCATAAAACGTCTGTGGAATATATCAAGTGCAAAATATACATGATCTGATATTGCAAGTCTCAAATCCAGCCCAACGTAAAGGGCAAAACACGGATCCTACTGATGCCGTTCCACAAACATGTGCAATAGCATCAGTAGGATCCGCCCCTAGGGCCCCGAGTTTGTGGAAGGAGCGCATGGTTTTACTTGCCATGGAAGACTAGTAGAAGAGCTGGATATACGATCGGTTGTGATCAGGCTTTCATTACTTCAATTAAGCTTTCCTTGACTGTTTTCAACAGTCAAACATTTCTGGTGAGTGAGTAGGGGCTCGGCTCGAGGAGAGGGTCACCTGTTTGGATCACAGTGTTTACTTGGAGCAGAGTGTTTTGCCCTTTACGTTGGGCTGGATTTGAGACTGTTGCAATGTAAGATCATTTATATTTTGCACTTTATATATTACTGACAATTTATATGTTATTTAAATTTATGTAATAATTTATGTACTAATTGGACTGATACACAGATGAACTATCGTTTTCAGAATTGAATGTAGCACTTTATCTAGTACATTATGCACTGTCACTAGTGTGATTTGTTGAAGTATCAAGACTGATGTACAGCAAAGCACTTCCTTTATATATATTCTTTATTTAATGTATTGTTTATTTGGCACATTTATGTAATTTACACATTGCTGCAAGCTTATATATTTAGCGCTGTGCAAAATATTTTGGTATCGAGTAAGGGTATGGATATTCTTTTTCCTGTACTCACCGATACAGATACCGGAAGTCCCGTGTGTAATGACTCAAAGCCCGGCTACCTGATTAGCCAACAAGCCGGCTCCATGCTCCCTTGTCACCACGTGACGAAGAAGCATGGAGCCAGCTTTCACAAGAGAGGGAGCTTTACCTTGATACAAAGTTTCTAGCCAGAGAGACAGAAGAAATGAGACAGAGATTATCAGACTGCCAGCTCCATGCTCGCACGTCACCAGGTGATGAGGAACCATGGGGCTGGCTTTCTGGGCAATCAGGAAGTCGGGGGCGGGTAATGACTCGCTGTCCAGCTTCCTGATTGGCCAGCTTCCGGACCAATCCCTTTCCTGCTCTGCCAGTGCTCTGATTAAGGGTCTGGAATGGAGTTTTTTGTTGTTGTTTTTTTTTTTAAATTTTGGGCGTTGCGTTTCCCCTTAAAATTCCTACCAGACCTAAAGAGTCTGGTATGAACTAGGGAGGGGACCTGGCGCTGTTTTGTTTTATTCTATTTTTTTTTCTTATGGTTAACTAGCGGGGATTCGGTCCTGCTTCGGCTGTCTGTGCGGCTTTGCCGAGCGGAAGCACGTGCATTCGGGACAGCTGGGAGCTGTGGCTGCCTTCAGCTGCTGTACGCACTATTGAGAATAGTACGTACAGCAGCCCTAGCGAGCCAATGGATTAGCTGAACGTTCGGCTACATCCTTCGGCAGCTTAGTGAATAACCCCCTTAATGTTTGCTGTTCAAATATGTTGAAAAAGTAAACAATTTCCATGGAGTACATTACTTGTTCTCATGACTGAATAAGAAACATTCAATATGCTAAATATTAGCAAATTAAAAAAAAGAAAACAAGAACTGTTCAGAAATACTCACTTGCCCAGGTGTCCTCCATCATAAAGAACCCAAAGTAAACTCTACAATTACAAAACACATCTTAGGTATACACAGATTCACATCACATTATGTGAACATTTGACAGAAAAGACACATTAATAGGAGCGAACTGTCAAGCTTACTATTTACAACAGTGAACATTTTTTCAACAGTAAGTAATGTACTATGTTATTTCTGAGAATGTATTGTCAACACAGTGATGTGAAAAATGAACTGCTCCCTCACAGTAACTTACCAGCCTGTACAACTCAAATGCTGTGGACTGGCCCTCTGCGTCCTCTAAGTCTAATGTAGGGCTACGGGCCCTGCATGAGACATATTGACGTCAGTGGGCATCCGACCGACGGTGCGGAGGGGCGGACAGGCTGCAAGAGTCAAAGAGCTAGCAGGAATCTGTTAAGTAAAAGTGCTTTACACAGCCCCCTTAGAAATTAAAAAGCACTTAACCCTTGCAGTGCCGGAATAGCCCCACCGCAAAGGGAGATTTTTTTTTTTACCTGGAGATGGGCTTTAACTATTATGTATACAAGCAATGCTGGCTTTTCCTACATAACTTGTCTGGCATTGTAAACCAGTTTGAACCAGCATTTGAAAACCACTTAAAGAATTAAAGGCAAAGTCCAACATTTAAATGGACACATATTAATAAAAGAATAATAAAAGTAAAATAAAGAACAAAATGCACACACATTAAAGAAAAAAAAATGTGCATTTATTATTTTTGGCATTTGAGCCTGCAAAGCTCTGTGGTGCAATATTCAGGCTATTCTTCCTCCCAGCCTGTTCATACCAAGGCATGGACCCTCCATGTACAGAAGGGTAGGAAATATAATTGGACTACAAGTGTGGTGACGTTACTGAATTTGTACTCCATTGAAAACTATGAGTCTCTCTGCTGCAGTGGCAGACAGGACTTGTAGTCTCTAATAACAGATCCTGCAAATGGATCTGTAAATCTGTGCTGAGCCACACACAGCCAATCCAAATCAAAGAAAAAATGACAGCAGCCTGAAAGGAGAAGAACCCATCGATTCAGGTTTGTGTGTGGGGGTGGGATGCGTCGTGGGGTGGGGGAATGAGGATGTGACCATGTTTCATGGGTGTAATATAAAAAAACGAGGTTAGAAAAGAAAACATAGCTTTTAAAGCAATCTACCATCAATAGTTTATACCAGGGGTCCCTAAATGGCGGACCGAGATTGCCAACTAGGTTATGGCTGGCAGTGGATGCGCCGGCCTCAGAGGCTGGTACATCAACTGCCATCCATAACCCAGCGCAGGCCCCCCGCCTCTCCTTTTTAATCATTGAAAAGAGGCCGGTACATCCACAGCCAGCTATAACCCACTGCAGGTCCCCATTCCTTCATGTCATTGGCTGCTAGGACCGCAGCGTTTCTAGCAACCAATGACATCAACTTTCGTCCCTACCCAGCAATAAGGGGTGACGGAAGAGTACCGTCTTCCATCCTCCCTTGCAGCCGAAGTCTGCCCTGGCTCGCGGCTCCTCCCATCCCCGCCTCCTGGCTCCCCTCATCCTGCCTTTCTGCTGGTCGGGCTCAAGGGTCAGCAGCATTTTAAAGGGGCACTCTAGGGACAGTGTAAGAGGGCACTCTAATGCAGACAATGACTTATTAGTTGTCCTCATCAGAGTACATTAAATACAAAAATAAGGGGGCACTCTGTTGGGGACAGCCAATGCAAGAGGAGGCACGCTAATTGATCAGAGTGCTGCTTTTTTTGTATCCCCTGGTGGGGACACCCGATTGTAAAGGGGCCCCCGGAGACACCCGAAGTAAAGGGGTCCCCTTAGGGGGACACCCGATGTAAAAGGGTCCCCTGGTGGGGACACCCGATGCAAAGGGGCACTGATGGATGCTGGACTTTTTTCAGTGAAGCCAACCACGATGTGGTACAACCACAACACACTGCGATTTGCCTATAGAACATAGTGAACTGTTACTTATGACATTTCAATAAAGTTCTAACAAAAAAAATAAAAAATGTGATGTGCCGGAATTGATGCATACACACACACCAGTAGTTGTGTGTGCAGTGCAGCTGCTGGTGGGATTGCAGCCTAAATGGCAGATTGCCATGCAGACACGGTCTGAGTGACCGTTCTTTCTGAACCCCGATTCGGACCTCGGTCAAAATCTTGGTCACCGGATCTTAGTCAAACTGGTCTTGGTCTTCAGTTTTTATTCAATACCCCTGGTTAATACGGTCATGGTGTTAGTGAACACTGATCCATTTGATGTTTTTGCAAATGCGATCTGGTTAAAATTTGCAGGCAAAAAAACCCCCCTATAAAGCATGGTTCAATTTGCTCCAACAGGGGAAAAAAAATCCTTCCTGATCCCATAAGGCAATCAGATATTCCCTGGATGAACAATCTCTGATGCCTAATATACCTATAAGAACTCAATATCCAGTAATATTCTGTGCATTTAATAATACATCCAGATGTTTTTTAAAGCAATTAACTGAGCTCGCTAGAACTAGCTCCTGGGGGAGCCCATTCCACATTTTCACAGCTCTAACTGTGAAGAATCCTTTCCGTATGCAGCGGTTAAACCTCTTTTCCTCCAGACGCAAAGAGTGCCCCCTTGTCCTTTGCAGTGACCTTAACATGAATAATTTGGCACCAAGCTCACTATATGGACCATTTATGTATTTATACATGGTGATCATGTCCCTCCTTAATCACCTCTTCTCCAGAGACAACAAATTCAGGTCAGTTAATCTTTCCTCATAGCTGAGCTGTACAATGCAGTGGTGCTTCAGTTTCTGCTATCATTCTGAGCTACACCTTTACAAAATTTTGTGTATAAGGGACCATTTACATCACAGCGTGCACGTTATTGGGGACTTAACGCACTTGTGCTGGTGTATATTTTACCATGTGCTGCAATGGTATGTTGACACACATCACAGTGCTTTGGTTTTAGACTTCAATGTTACTCCGTATCGGAAATTCTAATCAAAATATGTAATATGTCCTACTTTTTTCATTGCACACTTAACGCAGCCCACTGATGTTATTATTATTATACAGGATTTATATAGCGCCAACAGTTTGTGCAGCGCTTTACAATATAAGGAAGACATTACAATCACAATACAAATCAAGACAAGATGGTAAGGAGGGCCATGTGAAATAAAACCACATGCACATACTAGTAGAAATATTTTATATATAATTTATGTACCTGTTGCAGCTGCAGTAACTCCAGGCTGTCTGTGTGAGCATCAATTGAAGTGTTAATGGCACAGACCATGAAAGCCACTTCCATGTGACGGTCGCAATGTAGAAATTTCCCATTTAAGTACAACCAGCTCTATAACAGAAGAATTTAACAAAAATTAGATATTACATTTACCATGTAAAATGAAACAAAAACATCCAAATATATTGGCCAACAGGATTAAACTTAGCTTTTACATATTCTTGAATTCTCCTACCAAATGATGCAGTATTCTGGGAGCAGCAATGTTTCTGGCATAAGACTGTTATGTGGCAGTACACCCCAATAATTAAAAATGTTTTGACAGAAAGCTTTTGCAGTTTTTTAATACATTATTAATCATGGATTCTGTTCCAAACATATATAAGTAAATACACAACAGGAAAGACAAAGCACAGACAATCCATCAGCAAAAGACATTGGTATTGACAACATATTTTGCCACGTTTGGCTGAAAGTCCTCACTTTAATAGGCATAAAGAGTTGGTACTCTGTTATAGCTGGTCTTGCTCGGGTCTATATATTGATGAAGAGGTCCAGACATGACATGTCCGCATTCACAGGGTTCCCTTACTGGACTAGACAGACTAAAGCCTTATTTCTACATATGCCACCTATTTTCTGCTGTAATCAAATACATTTCTACCACAAGTAAACTGATAAGTGGTTTTTGTACAGTCTAAATGTTAAAACATTCTTTACATAGAATTTAATGTTACTTACAGTGATGTTCTGAAGTCATTACTGTTGTGGAAATTTTATGGGGTAACCTTTTTATCCCATAGTTCTCTTTAGGGTTACGGAAGGACATATACTAACCTCCTCCCGTGACCCAAAGCTCAGTATTATTGCCCGCTATATGCTGAGAGCGCTGCAGCTGGGATGGATCCCAACAATACGGTCGAGATCCACCCAGCTGGCTGATTGACAGCGGGCTCTGTCTATCTAGAAGCAGAGCCAGCTGTGCCCGCCCCCTACCCCCATCCATTCCTTCAGTCAGCGCTGGAGTATCGGAAAGAGGAATCCCAGCGTGGAGGGTTAACTGACAGTCACCGCTCTCTGCAAGAGATGATCGGGAAGTGTGCGAGCGACGGTGTGTGTTCGCTCACTTTCCGATCAATAGAGCATTCCTGATCAACAGTTTCAATTTCACATGTCGGCTCTAACTATGGGAATGAGTGTAAATCTTCTTTAAGGGCCCGATCACACTAGCCCATCCACTGAAACACTAAGTTTCAGCAGACGGGCTTGTGCATTGTGACAGCTCTGGTTGTAGGCATTGTATGGAAAACTACTGGAGCTGTCACAGTTTACTTAAAAAAAAAAAACCATTATGTGGAAGGTACATTGTGAACACTCCATTCAGGTCCCCGCACAGCAGCAGCACAATGCGGTGGTATGCAGAGTGCTGTGATAAAATGCAGCAGGATTGCATTTCATTGCAGTACAGTGACCCGCCCCGTGTTGTGGTGTGAATGGGACACACAAAAACAATGTGTCCATGCGTTGACCTGCATTGATCCGATGCAGTACAACACAGGTCACCGCAAGTGTGACAACGAGCCCTAATTGCTAGAAGAGCCATGTGCTACACCTGTCCAATTTACCCTTTCTGTGCCACCGACATCGGTGGCATTTATTATTCTGCTATAAGCTCATGGTCACTTTTGCTTCTCCCCATTCAGAAACTGGATGATAGTAAATATTTTACAATCAGCAGTTTCTGAATGAATGGGAAGCCTCCTTACTGAGTGCTTTCCATTCATTGAGAGCTGAGGCTGCAGAAAAAGAAATGAGGAGTCTGCATCCTCAATTTTAAAAGGGAAATGTCAGGGGTCTGTTTAGACCCCAGATATTTCACCGTAGACTTTTTAAAAAAGCATTAATTTAACTGTGGCAGTGCATGGCAAACATTTGCGACGCATTGCGATACCTTGTGTTGCAATTAAATATACGCCTGTATCATTTTATCACAACATAAACACGAACAGCGCAAAAACAATTTTTAACATAAGTCGCTTATTTACAGTTTTGCGTGCCTTAATTTTTTTTTTTTTACCTTTTTGCAAAAAGGTGCAATTTCACATTTGAAAATATTTATTAAACAGAGGGCTTGGCAGTGTATTTGGTGAGTTCAGCTATGTTATAAAGATTGTCCGCGGTGATTGTATCTGCTTATACAGGCCAGAGATACAACAATAGGAGTCAGAATAGGTAGCGTATTCACTACAGCACATGCAATGCTGAGTGGCAAAAAATTTAATGGACTGGCAGTCTGTGCAACAAGCAAGCAGTTGCACCTTCCATTGATTGCATTCGGGGACTGACAGGAGATCAAAGGCAGTCGTGTAACTAACTCCCTTTGATCTCCCGTCACAGAGTAGCCATGCTGGTCCCGGCCGCTTCGGGCACAGCGGATCTCGGGACTGGCATGGCAGATACAGGTGCTCCTATACAAGCGGTCGGGCGTCTCTAGAGATGCCCAATCGCTTGAATGTAAAGCTCCCGGCTGGCCATGAAATTACAACGCCGTCCTTTCGTCACATAGGATTTTTCAAATATATTTATATACACACACACACACACACACACACACACACACACACACACAATGGCTGCAATTGAAATAATCCATATTATGTATGTGGACTGGAAAGTTCCATCAGGGGTTTAATTGAACATGAAAACTATCTCAACATTTAATCTCCAAGGAAAAAGTGTGTAGATCCATTATGTCTGTGCCCGAAGAAGGGATCGAAATGGTTACGACATGTGGCTACACATTGTGACATTTTGTCAAAGAAGAATTGACAGGATATGCTTTGGTGTGCTGGTGACTATATTTGGATTTGTACTTGATTTGCGGTGGCACCCGCAGTCGTTACAGCACCCACCCAATGTTTTGGGTTGTATCTGGTCAGGAGTGCAATGGGAATCTATAAAGTTTGATTGTTTTGATATAGTCCCCTTCCTTGGGGATCCTTTCCACTGACCAAAATGCCATGCCAAAAGGGCTACTATTATGAAAATTCTTAAAATGATCATTAACTGGATGCACTTAGAAACACATCCACTTTTTTTTTACAAATAATCTACTTAGCCAACTATAACTTGTTTCCTGTGAAGTTTGTTTCACAGTTTTATAGCTCTTTCTGTAAAGCTGCTGGAGGTTAACCCTCTCGCTGCCACTGACATAAAGCTACTGTCGGCAGCAGCACCAGCCTGCTATAGCAGCTGGGAGTCTGTTCACATTTTCTCAGTGGACTGATGGCTTTATTGCAGAAGTGATTCCAATCACTTCCACGTGTACTGCAAAGTGCCGTACTGTCCAGACACCTAACCCTCCCCCGCCATGTGTTCTTGGCTCACCTGTCACAAAAGCAGATCAGTGAACATGAGTAATTTTAATGCTAAACTCTGTATAATTTTTTTAAATAGGTTACAAATAACAGATCAATACTAACCACTGTAACGCCCCCCCCCCACTAACAGCCTTAGACTAGGGATGCACCGATACCAAGTACCGTACAGATACTTCGAGCTCCAAGACTAGACTAGGGAAAAATTCAAAAGTTAGGAGGCAGCTGTCATTTGTAAGGAGCACACAGAGCTCCTGGGATTTGTACATCTCTGTTTTAATGTATGATTTTGTTTTTATATATATATATAAATATAGGGATGCACCGATACCAGTTTTGCAAGTACAAGTACTAATGCTTGTCCAAGTACTTACAAGTACAACTACTGATACATTTTTGTTTATTGTCAAGTGACAGTTTTTCTAAAACAATACAGACTAATGATTTCAGGACAGTGGTGAAGTGCCAGAGCCAGGTCCCAGCTGCAACCCTGGTAGTTCTCAGGAAAATGCCAAGTATCAGCACTGGTATTAATCGCTACTATCTGAATATGGTGTGTTAAACAGTTTTCTATCCATTTACAGACTAAATTCTCAGGAGTTAAATCTTAAAAATGCATTCATGTATCCTATTAACAAAAATGTAGCTTATTTGTGTACCACAGGGCTGTAGATCAGTGCTCCCCAACCTTTTTATCGCCGTGGAGCGGTCAATGTTTGATCATTTTACCGCGGCCCGCTGAGGGGGGGACGTTGATTGTTTATATTTTATATTGTTTTGATTTAATAATTTTAATTTGTGCTGTCAGTGCCATTATTTTCTAATGGCAACACAGTCGTGCCAGGCAGATTGCCAGCTGCAATACAGCCCTGCCCGTGCGGTTGCACACAATCGCAGTTGGAAACACTGCGCGTTTATTCGCGTGCAGATGGGGGCAGTGGGGCTGGTTTTCATTTATTCAATTTTTATTTACTTTGGAAACATTTTGTTTGTTTTATTATTTTTTACATTTTTATTTTGTTACGTTTTTAATATTTTTTACTATTTATTTTTTAAACTTAACTGTATTGCTATTAGACAGGGGTTAACAAATCCCCTGTGTGATAACATTTGGAGGCGACAGGTACACTTTATTCAACCTGTCTCCTCCAACACAGGAGTTCTAGCAGGCACTGTTGCTAGAACTCCTGTGTGACAGGAACAAGCAGCAGCCGCTGAGGACAGAGGCTGAGGGAGGTGACAGAGATGGTACCGGGGGTTGGGGACCACTGCTGTAGATCATCAAATCAACTCTGAATTTGTGCTGAAACTGTCCCTCCTGTATGGAGGGTGGCTACTTTTGTTCCCCATGTGTGTGTTGTAAAGTAGCCACCGCTCAAAGCTCTCTCTCCTGTGACAGAATACAATCTCACATTTAGTTTACCAATTTGTATTAAGACTGTAGTCCATCACGTGAGCAATCTTGTAGTGGGTACTTTACAACACAAACAGGGAACAAAAGTAGCCACCCTCCAGAAGGACAGTGTCAGCACAAATTCAGAGAGGATTTGAGGCTCTACAGCTGAGTGATGCACAAATAACGTACAGGTTTTCCTAACAGTTAAGGTACTAGAAGGCATTTTTAGGATTTAACGCCTGAATTTAGAAGTACTTAAAGAGAAACTGGAACCCGAGAAAATAGAACTTTGATAAGCTGATGATTATTTGAAGCAAAAAAGGAGTGGACTGGAAAGC